CTCAAATCCTTTGCAGGTTTAGTCTTGGACGGTTTTCTGGTACCGCAGATCCTATTCAACTTGATATTTGATTCTAAAGAAAGGGCTCTATCCTTCTCCTTCTATTTGGGAACCACATTTGTACGTCTACTACCTCATGCTTATGACCTTTACAGGGCTCATCATTCAAGCTGGTACCTTGACTTATCATACATATATGCAAACCACAGACTAGACTTCTATTCCACTGCCTGGGACATCATCATCCCTTGCAGTGGTCTTCTGTTAGCTCTTATCTTATTCTTGCAGCAACGGTTCGGGGGTCGATGCATACTTCCCAGAGCTTTTCATAAACAAGGTCCTACATATGATCAAGTGCCAACCATCAGCAATGAGGAACTGTAAGATAAGACTTGAATTATTGCGAAGCTTCCTTGAGTTTTGAATCATACTCACAAATAGTAAGTTTTAACAATCCTTCTTGCAAATGTTCTCAAAATCTTTCTCTGTGATATTGCGCGTAACTTGTATTGGATCGACTGGACAAACTACGGATCGGTCGGTTTAAGGTCAAAGATATAAGAAAAGGTAGGGGATTGTGTATTCTTTTTCTTGAGTTTTACCATTTTGCAGAAGCCAAGGTAGATGGTAGATTGACAATACCTGCCCCTCAATGTATGAGTTACTCTAACTTCTGAACAATCTGCTTAACAGGGAACTCTCCAATGTAAATCGACCTTGAAGAAGCTTTGAAGACCAATTATTTAACTAACAACTCATTTCAATAAGTTCTTATGTGAGAACCCACGTTGGTGGGAAAGAGGAACGAATCATTCTTTATAAGGGTGTGGAATCCTTTCCTAATAGATGTGTTTTAAAACCGTGAGGTTGATGGCGATACGTAACGAGCCAAAGCTGACAATATCTGCTAGCGGTGGGCTTAAGCTATTATAAATGGTATTAGAGCCAGATACCAGGTGGAGGTTGGCACCCAAGATGGGTAGATTGTGAGATCCTACATCGATTGGAGAGAGGCACGAAACATTCTTTATAAAAGTGTGGAAACCTCTCCATAATAGGCGCTTTTAAAACCGTGAGATTGACGACGATATGTAATGAGCCAAAGTGGACAATATCTACTAGTGGTGGGCTTGAACTGATATATCTAGAGAATCATAATAGTTCTAGAGACCATTTGAACGCTCTAGCAAGAGAGGGCACGACACTCACAAACATCTAAGAGCTCCGCATAATAATTTAAATAAAGGTCAACATCACTCACAAAACAAGCCTGTGATTCATTATGCAAATTATCATCTTTATAAAAAAAAAAAAAAAAAAAAAAAAAAAAAAACAATACAGTATCATTCTCATGTCTACAAACTTCCTAGTTTTAGTATAAATAGGTGTGATCGCTGTACATGTGTGCTGTCATATTCAAAGATTGAAGCATTGCCTCTCCTTTTTCGTTGAACTTGAACACCGATATCCCGCCATTGTTTATCTCGACCGATCGGAACCTGAACCACGAAAGCCATCGACACACAAACTTATTCAACATTTTGGAATTCGAAGGCGTTAAATATATAGCAATGAAGATTGCTTGTTTATAAGGAATCCTAAATTCATTTTGATCCACAAAAGGATATTACATACCTCTCAGGGCCAAGCCCCAAGGCCGTGCAGATGAGTGCCCGCAATATAGATTTGTGAGTGACCACCACAAAATTCTCTCCCTGATAATCAACAAAACAGAAGTTAAAAAGCAGCCAGACTAGCTTGTAATTGATGGGAATAGATTGAATGAACATATCTCACAGGTGATAACAAGATTTCCCTCCAAGCTTCTCTTGCTGTTGCCCAAATTTTTCGAAGAGGGTAGACGCCATTTACGCAAAATTTAGCAGGATCTTCTCGCCATGTTGTGTACTCCTTTGGATAAATCTTCTTAGCATCCACTGCCTCCAAATTCTAATCATGATTTCTATGATCGAAACAGAATGTACAGAGGGACGTATTCTAAGCAATATTTTAAGATCTACAAGGAAGTCTCAAATCTCAAATGCAGAAATCAAGAGATAAATCAGTTCCAAAAAGAAAAAAAATGTTCATCTCCAAGAATTTAAAAAAGAGCAGTCTCCAAAAACGTTTTCAATGACATTTGTGGATGATGCTGTTTATAGCTTGTTTGAATGTATGAACCGATGACACATGCAACTTTGAGTTACTTCCAAATATAATATGAACTCATGCGACATTCAAACTTTGAGTTACTTCCAAACATGATATGAACTGATGAGACATTCAACTTTGAGTTACTTCAAAACATGATATGAACTTATGCGACATCCAACTTCGAGTTACTTCCAAACATAATCTTCTTCAAGATAACATAGTAAAATGGTAATCAAAATGGTAGTATGCTCAAGCAGGGGACAGACCATTTTTCATGCCTTCAAGAAAAAACAGATGGGCTTCCTTCAGAGAATCAAGAAAAACCAGTTCTTCTTCCCTTCCTTGCCATAAGACTTCAGCAGTTGCCTGCACTCAAGGAAATAGTGGCAATTTAATCAAACAATATATCATAATGAAAAAAGAAAAGAATATAAGTGTTAGGAATCACGACTCTCTACAATGGTATGATATTGTCTAATTTAAGCATAAGCTCCGGTGGCTTTGCTTTTGGTTTCCCCAAATGGCCTATCCACTTAATTAGCCAAGGTTAGACTACTTCATTTCAATAACTCTCAACAATCCTCTTTTCGAATAAAGTACACTATAGAGTCTTCCCTAAGGCCTATGGAGCTCTCGAACAGCTTCCCTTAATCGAGGCTCGACTCCTTTCTCTAGAGCCCTCGAAAAAAGTACACCCTTTGTTCGACACTTGAGTCATTTTTTACTACACCTTTGAGACTCACAACTTTTTTTGTTCGACATTTGAGGATTCTATTGACATGACTAAGATAAGTGTATGACTCTGATACCATATTGGGAACCACGACTCTCTACCATAGTATGATATTGTCTACTTTGAGCATAAGCTCTCGTAGTTTTGCTCTTGATTTTCCCAAAAGATCTCATTACCAATGGAGATAGTATTCCTTACTTATAAACCCATGATCATCCTCTTAATTAGCCAACGTGGGACTACTACTTTCCATAATACTCAACAACACACACAGATTTGGATGCCACCCAACCTTGGCGCGTGATATTGGACTTGCAAAACATCTATCAAAATTTATGTTTGCCAAGGCTCTTCTACATTTTTCTGCTTGCAGCACCCCAGTTTCTGTTAAGAGAGATAAGTCCGAGCTTCCCTGCATGTTAGTTCAACAAAAATTAGGCTAAATGTAAAATTAAATCCGTGTGCTAAGAAGAATGGAATCTGTACATTCAAGTTAAAAGTTGTTCAAATCTTTACTTCTCCTCATAAATAGAAATCTCAAATTTTCATCGTTCATAATTCATTTAGGTACAATATTTACTAGTGGTGGGCTTGAACAAATTCATCCATGTATATGATTTCATAAACCAAACACACATGACAAGCACATGGAAACCGGTATCGAGTAATCGAGCAACTATTCTACATTATGCCCCAATGTCGAAAAGATCAATGATTAAAGTAGGAACACTACAAACCTGAACTCTACTTTCTTCATTCCAAGTGCTAAGACCATGCCTTACAAGAGTGACCTTCTTTGATGTGGAGATAGACCTTTCAGTAAGAGATGTAGTTGCTTTATAAAAATCAAAAGCTCCTCCAGTCATAACATCACCATTTCCTAGCCTCTCTGCCACAAGTTATCCAAGGCCATGTTAACTAACAAGCAATCATAAGCCATTGAAATACATACATTCTTCAAACACTTGCACCATGAATTCATAGAACAGTTGAAGAACAAGAGAAGAAAACAGAGGAATCGATAATATTACCGGTGGTCAGAGACAAATCTCGGCTAATACTTGAGCAGTGAACTCCACCGGAAAGACTACGGAGCAAAGGACGCTTCCGAACATACGATAAGCAGGAACTGTAACTTGAACTTGAACTTAGAGGTACGATGGTCATGAAAACAACGCCACAAGCCATGTTCGTGAAGAAATTAGAGAATCTACAGGTTTACGATCTTACTCGGCTTCTGGATTCTGCATTTGTGGCGCTCTTCATTTGTTAGTGGCGGTGGTGGAGAAGATTTTTCTTGCAATAATCACAGATGAGTGGTGGGGAACAGTTGAAGAAGACGAATGGTTGGATTATTTGGGCTTTGTTTATGGCTGAATCAAACTCGCGGGAAGATTTTTATCCTGAATTGGACTTCTTGGCTTTTTTGTTCGGAGGATTTTTTAATTAAAAAAAAATTAAAAACAAAATTCATTTCTCACTTGTTGCTGCCCAGGATCGAACTGGGGACCTTTAGTGTGTAAGACTAACGTGATAACCACTACACCACAGCAACTTGTTGGTATGTTTAATATACTTATTTATATATTTATTAATATTTTAAATATACTGTTTTTTGAACTATAATTCACAAATATCAATATTTATGAAAATTTTCAATTATAACTTGATTGAATTATCTGGATCATTTTTCTTACAAATTTTATTTATGATGTCATTATAATATTTTTATAATGGAAGTTTTTCATTTTTGGTAAATAGTTTTTATTTTAATTGCATATCACATTTAATTAATTTTATTTCACAAAGGATTTCAAGTAAAGTAATATAATATAAAATAAAAATAATAAATAACTTGACGTATTTATTATTATTATTATTATATAATAGTTATATTTATTTATAAATAAAGTATTTAAATTAATTATACTTATTTAAATTTCGAAGTTTTCAAGAATATGACCCTTGAGAATAAACCAGCGCATCACCGACGTGCGGTAAGCTCTCTTTTAGTTGGGCTGTCGTTTTGAGGCCCAAAATCGGCCCATATTTCATTCTGTAATTTCGACGAGCCCATAAGCCCAATAACAAAACCTTCCTAAAACCTTGAAACTCCGCCCCTGTTGCGTTTATGGGTTCTCTGTCTCACTTGAAACAGTTCTCGTCTTCTTCTTCTTCTTCTTCGTTTTCTTCTTTCGAAGGCGAGATCTCCGCGGATCTCATCAATGGATCAGTTCTTTTCCAAAGCTTTAACACGCTATGCCCTAGCTGACCGATTTTACCATACGAATCGATTGAAAAAGGCGACTCTGTACGCGAAAATTAGTCCTCTGGGCGATCCTAACGTCAGTGTGGAGCCGGAGCTGGACGGCTGGGTTAAGGAGGGAAAGAAGGTCCGAATCGCTGAGCTTCAGAGAATCATTCATGACCTTCGCAAGCGTAAACGCTTCACACAAGCTCTTGAGGTTTGAGTTTTTCTTTCTTGAAATGTGGTATATTTTGGTTTGAGCTGTAGGATGTGTAGGAAGAAGTGAACTGTGAAAAAAGATGCATACAGTGAGAACTAAGTGTCTTTTGGATGAGCCTCCTTTTCAAAATGTGAATAGCTCAATCGCTAACTTCAAATCCTCAGGATTATGGAGAATGAAGTTATATTGACAGATATAGCTTGGGGAAATGGAAGGTACGCGGGTTTTCTATGCTAAAAAGTCAGAAAATACTTCTTTAGATTCTTTGATTCAATGAATTTGTTGAGTAACTTCATTAGTTCACATAATATGGACCTTCAGCCATGGAGTTATGTTGTTTCTCCCTTATTTAATCTGGAGTAACTCACTTATTTAAATCTGTGGATAATGATAGAATGACTATAGCATCATATGAGCTAGAAATGTGTGGATTTCAACAATTTATTGGGGGTGTTCTTTATAATTGATGATGGATGTAAATGCAGGTGTCCGAATGGATGAAGAAAACCGGTGTCTGCATATTTTCGCCAAGCGAACATGCGGTGCAATTGGACCTGATTGGCCGAGTTCGTGGATATCTTTCTGCCGAAAGCTATTTCAATCAGTTGAAGGAGCAAGACCAGACTGATAAGACATATGGTGCTCTCCTCAATTGCTACGTTCGGCAGCGGCAAGTTGAAAAATCCCTTTCCCATTTGCAAAAAATGAAAGAGATGGGCTTTGCAACTTCAGAGCTCACTTACAATGACATGATGTGCTTGTATACAAATGTTGGTCAGCATGACAAGGTCCCTGAGGTACTAGCAGAGATGAAAGAGAAAAATGTTTCTCCAGACAACTTCAGTTACAGAATCTGCATCAATTCGTATGGTGCGAGACGGGATCTTGAGGGGATGGAGAATGTATTAAAGGAGATGGAATCTCAACCTCATATAGTCATGGATTGGAACACTTATGCAGTAGTAGCTAACTTCTTTATAAAAGCGGATCTTGCTGATAAGGCGGTTGATGCCTTGAAAAAAGCAGAAGAGAGACTGAAGAGTAAAGATAGAATTGGCCATAACCATCTAATCTCGCTATACACAACGTTAGGAAACAAGGAGAAGGTGTTGAGATTGTGGAATCTGGATAAAACTGATACTACGAGATTCATCAATAGAGACTACATCACAATGCTTGAATCTCTGGTGAGACTGGGTGAACTTGAGGAAGCTGAAAAAGTGCTGAAAGAGTGGGAATCATCTGGGAATTGCTATGATTTTCGAGTTCCTAACACTGTCATTGTTGGGTATATTGACAAGGGAATGTGTGAGAGAGCCGAAGCCCTGCTCGAAGACTTGATGGAGAAGGGAAAGACTACCACACCAAACAGTTGGGGTGCTGTGGCTGTTCAATATATGGACAGGGGTGAGACTGAAAAATCTGTAGAGTGCATGAAGGCCGCCCTTACTCTAAATATGGATAAAGGATGGAAACCTAATCTACGTGTGATTACAGGCATATTGAATTGGCTTGGTGAAAACGCCAGCATTGAAGAAGTAGAAGCTTTTGTAGGCTCATTGAGGTCTGCGATTCCAGTGAACAGAGAGATGTATCATGCCTTGATGAAGGTTCATATAAGAGGTGGTAAAGAAGTACATGAGCTGTTAAATCAAATGAAGTCTGATAAAATAGATGAAGATGAAGAAACAAAGAAAATTCTTGGCACTGGGCAAGAAACAACTGAAGGAAGGTAAGAACATTTGCTGATTGTTTTCTTATTGAATCTTATTGTTGTTGTCAATCTGAACACCTGTTGCTTGGGTTTCAGTAATGCAAAATCTTATTTATCATCATGTTCTTCACATGAAAGGAGTAAAAGTAGGTGATGTTCACTTCCAATTTACTGATTGTATTTGGTGGTTTAATGAAGTGTTGGTGATTTGAGAGAAATGTGTTACATGCATAGATGATTTGGTATTTCGTGAACAGGGAAGAAAGAAGTTAAAATAGTGAATTCAATTAAGATTCTTTTTCTGGTATGTAGCTCCACAAGCTAGGAGCGCATCACCGGGGCGAAAACAAAGATTGGACCATCATCATGACCCTTTTCTTTCTTTTGTTTGTGTCCCGACTTCAGTTAAAAAGAGGCGTGTGTGTTTTTTTAAGGCTTATCCAGGGACTGCAGCTCTAGGGCATCCAATTCCTCTTCTTTCTTTTTCTTTTCTGCAGATCTCATATCGAGAGCAGCTTCTTCTTGTTCAGGGAAGTAAGATAAGTGAATGGAAATAAGAATTACTCTCGAGTATCAAGATTAAGTTGATCGTGTCTGATTCAATGAATTGTACAAATTTGGTGTGGAGGTGCGCACGAAAACTGAAACTTCTACGAAAAGCTTGAATTTGTTTGTTACAATCTAGATCAAAGAACCTAGAACTTGAAGCAGCTACGTGTTTCCTGTATTGTTTTAGTTCAGCTTGTCGTCAATATTTACATATATGAGATGTGATTCATTTGAGTTCAAACTAGATGGTGTACTCAGCTTGACATAGCTCACCACCTGAAATTGATATCTACTTTATAAAAGCAACTGTACAACCATAATTCATAGGACTCTCCTGATCATACTTCGCTACACGCCGATGTTTCCTCAAGGTCTCGAGTACATGTTCCTTGACAGCCCCTGTGCCCATTCCATGTATGATGAAAAGAACTGAATTTGGTCCTCTCGAAGCAATGGCCATATCAAGATGGTAAGAAGCTTCTTCTATTCGCATGCCACGTAAGTCAACCGTGTTCTTTGAAGTCTGCACAACGGCGCCATAAGACTCTCCATCTGAAGTACTGACCAATTCTCTGCTCCGTCCACCCTAAATTGTTAACAATGATTGTTAGATTTGCATCATTGTGTATGCATCACAGGACAAATAGTATTGGAGTAATAAAACTTCAGGGATGAAGAGAAGATACCTGTTTCTTAGAGTATGAAGAAGACTTGGCAGAAGCTGTCTTTTCACTATTTGAAAGAGCTTTGACGCTTCTTTTCTTCACTCGGGCCTTGATTTTACCATACTGCACAAGGATTGTTTCCTCATCATCAGACGTTTCAACAACAGTAGCTAACTTGTTCCCAAGACCAGTTACAAACACCTGCTCGCCCAACTGGGGTGTATAAGAACTTTTATTTGCAACAACGAGGCGGGAATTGTCGGTTGGAGGACAAGCTTCACAAATTGAAGCGATTTTGGATTCTCCCTCCCTAATCAATGAATTGAATTGATCAGCCCCAACAATTTTCAGTTTCTCTTCGAACTCCTGTACAACAGTGTTTATCTTGGACTTTATTGCCTCAGTTTCTTGTCGAGCTCTTTTGGTTTCAAGAGCAATAAGAGCTCTCTCACGCTTATCAAGATCTTCTGCCTCATCCCGAATCTGCATCAATGATTAAAGATAGAGATGAGCAACACCATAATGTGTTGGAATGCCATCGGTTCTGCATTCTTTTTAATGAGAAATAGTAAATCAATCGCCTGAAATCTTTTCAACTTTCTCCAATGGTATAATTTGTTGAAACCTTTCAAAAGTCCTTTCTAAATGTCACCAATGGCATAATGCAACAGGCAAAGCCACCTGAATTTTACTAGAAGCCAGTATACTTGAAATGATATTACTTTTTTCTAATAGATAGGACATAATTACATTTCTTTACAATTTTTTCCAGTTGGCTATGCAACCAATCGGGAATTTTAGTTCTCTAGATGCTGAAAAATGTATGAGATCCCATGTTGGTTGGAGAAGGGAACGAAACAATTTCTATAAGGGTGTGGAAACCTCTCCTCTTTGACAAGTTTTAAAACCTTGAGGGGGAGCTTTATGACAAGTTTTAAAACCTTGAGGGGGAGTTTTAAAACCTGGAAGGGAATCTTAAAACCTTAAGGGGAAGTCTAAAGGGAAAAGCCCCAAGGGAAAAGCCCCAAGAGGACAATATCTACTAGTAGTGAACTTGGGCTGTTACAAATAGTATCAGACCCAAACACCAGGCAGTGTGCCAGCAAAGACGGTGGACCTAAAGGGAGTGGATTGTGAGATAAGGAAGTGGATCGTGAGATCCTACATTGGTTGAAGAGGGAACGAAGCATTCCCTATAAAGATGTGGAAACCTCTTCCTAGTAGACGTGTTTTAAAACCTTGAGGAGAAGTCCAGAAGGGAAAGTCTAAAGAGGACAATATAGGAAAAGCCTAATATCTATTAGCGGTGGGTTTGGACTGTTACATCAGTTATCATGATCCACCCAACGAATGATGCACCCATTATTAGGTAAGAACTTTACCTTGATCACAGGGCTAATAAAACCAAGCAAAAGACCAATTGACCACATATTAAAGGTATTACTTAACAACATAAGGCGATAAGATACACAAGCTGCACACAAGATATGAATCAATTTGCCTCGTTATAAAGGCAGCAGATAAATGGAAGCCAGCACATTCACAAATTTCTAAAGCTTTACCTCGTTATAAAGTGCTGAAATTTCTGCATGAATTAAAGCAGCTTCCCTTCTTTGAGCTTCCAACTTATCTCTTTCCTCCATTAGTGATTTGAAGAGCAAACCTCTACGTTCATCCTGTCTTTCAGGTGTAAGACTCACCATCCATTTCTTTGCACGTTCTATTATGGCGGGATCAAATCCAATTGATTGAGCAATACTCAAAGCATTCGACTCTCCAGTACTACCCCAAAGGATCTTGTAGGTAGGTTTTAAAGTTTCGAGTGAAAATTCCACAGCAGCGTTCGTGAACGAAGAATCACTATCTTTTATGCGAGTCAAATCCGCATAATGAGTAGTCACAATAGCTAGATTAACACATTTCTTGAGATAATGCAAAATGCTGGTAGAGAGAGCCACACCTTCTGAAGGATCAGTTCCACTGCCAATTTCATCAATAAGGACTAGGGATTCATCCGAGGATACTTCTAATATTTTACAGATCCGCGAGATGTGCCCGCTAAAAGTCGAGAAATTTTGTTCTAGAGACTTCAATCAAGAAAACAATGTTAAAACTTATACTTAACTCAAAAAGCTGATAATCTATATGATTACAGTAAGAGGACTAGAGAATTCTACCTGGTGATCTCCAATGTCAGCTAGAACAAGATCAAACCATGGAAGTTTTGGGAGGTTCTTGGCAGGCAAGTACATGCCAGCCTTAGCCATAAGAGATGCTAGGCCAAGAGTCTTAATGGATGCAGTTTTACCTCCTGTATTAGGCCCTGAAATCACAACCACTCTAGTTTGACGCTTAATTTTAATGTCTATTGGCACTGGAAAATCAGTGACGCTTCCTGAAAAACCTTCACTATTGATTGCATTATCTCTCTTGTCAAATTGACCTACATTTGCAGAGGAAGATAAAACATTATCTGATGAACTTTTAAGAGCGTAGTTGAGCAGCAATGGGTTCTGAATAGCATCAATATCTACTGATAATGTATTGTCATTTATACTAGAATTTAAGCCTTCATACCCCTTGGGTGAGAAACATGGACAAACCCCACTCATCCATCGACCATAAGCAGCCCTGGCCAAAGCAAGATCAAGTTCAAGAATTCTATCCAACAAATATCTTATATGATTCTCTGACTCAGAGATTTCATTTGTAAGCATACTTAAAATGGCTATTTCCTCAGCCTTCTCCGAATTTGATAGCCTAACATCCATGTTGTTCAAATCCACTGCCTCCTTGGGTTCTATAAAGTATGTCGCACCAGAACTACTGGCGCTCAAGACAATGCCGCCTGGTACTAAATTCTTGTGAGTAGCCCTAACAGCAACACACATTCTAGCTCGGCGCTTTGTTATCAGAGGCCTATCAATCCCACCAGCCTGATATATCTTAGAGGATACTGCCTTTAAAAGAGAATCTAACTCTTCCATATTCCTCTTCTTCTCCAAACGAATCAGCTCCAAGTCCTCACTGGCTCTATCAAGAACAGTTGAGTAATTGCAATCGATACAAAACTCAATTTTTCTCTCCAATTCCACCAGGAAATCACAATTCTGAAGTATTTCAAGCAAGGGCATGAACCTAATCAATATAATTAGACAGAATAAATCGTATCAACTTCTACCCACAATTATATGTTCATGTTTCATTTCATCAACTAAACTTTTCAGTGACAGGAGAAAAGTGAACAAGGATTTCAACTCAGGGCTCAAGATGATCTGAATACTTCTCCTCATACGTCCAAGATCATTTTTCTATGTAAATAAGTATCATATAGTAGTTTTTCTTCAACCAGAAATAGCTCTATAGAAGTTTATCGAATCCCTAGACGAATGCCAATTAAATGAAAAACAAACGATGAAGAACAAATTTCACGAGAACATTACCTATCTGAAGAACGGCCATCACCAGCCAAAGCCTGCAGTTCCTCGAACAACTCCCTAGCAGCTTTCAGAGAACGTCGCACCGAACACAGTTCAGCAATAGTAAGCAATTTACCAGAAGTCGCCGAATTCAAAATTCCAGAGACATCTTCGATTCCTGAAAAATCCAACTGTCGAGAAATCACCACAGCTTCAGCAGCAGTCGTCTGATCCAGAAGCTTCTGGCTCTCCTCCTTCGTCCGACCGAAGCGTATGTTAGCGTTGTGAGCTACGTCAAATCCCATGGAAGTCGACGTAAAAGTGGAGAGTTGCTTACAGATAGAACTCCATTCTAGAACCCTGAGGGTTTCGTTCTGGAGGGCCTGTGAAGTAGAGATTCGAACGGACACGGATTCATGAGTGCCGGAGAGTGAGAAAGCGGGCCTGAGAACTCTGGCAAAGATTCGAGGAGTTTTTCTAATGGAGATGAAGCTGTAGCTGATCTCCATGGGAAGGAGAAGAAAATGGAAGGATTAAGTGGGCGAGTGAAAATCGGATTTTAAAGAAGACAGCTTATCCACTTCAATCGTTGAGCTCTCTCCATTGGCGTTGGTTTCAACGGCTTTCAATCTAGACTTCTTTTTTTTTTTTAAATAAATTTTTTGCCTTTTCATTTATTTAGTACTAAAAAAAAAAAAAAAAAACTACTAGATACATATCGTCAATATTATCCTTTTTGAATTTTTCCTTTCGATTTTTCGTTCAAAGTTTTTCCCTTTCGGGCTTCCCCTCAAGTGCAAGGGAGAACAAATATTATCCTCTTTGGGCTTTTCTTTTCCGACTTTCATTCAAGTTTTTTTCCCTTTTGGGCTTTCCTTCAAGTGCTAGGGAGAGGTTTCCACGTAAGAAATGTTTCGTTCCCCTCTCCAATCAATGTGGGATCTTACAATCCACCCCATTGGGGGCCTGACATCCTCGCTAGCACACTGCCCCGTTTTTTTCCCTTCTGGGCTTTCCTTCAAGTGCTAGGGAGAGGTTTCCACGTAAGAAATGTTTCGTTCCCCTCTCCAATCAATGTGGGATCTTACAATCCACCCCATTGGGGCCTGACATCCTCGCTAGCACACTGCCCCGTTTTTTTCCCTTTTGGGCTTCCCCTC